CTGGGGCTAAAAATAGGACCTCCCGTCCTGCAGGCAGCCAGCTGCCCAGGGCCTCCCTCCAGGAGAGTGGCAGTCACACAGGGAGGGGACGGAAGTGTCCTCTCCTGCCCCACTGGGTCCTTACGCCCTTATCCTACTCCCTTCCCTGTGAACAATCCCCAAAGCCCCTACACAAGTGGTGAATTAACAGCAGCCCATTTTGCATGGGGGAAACCGAGGTACAGAGCAGCGCATCTCCTCCCCCAAAGTTGGGGTGCTTCTGGTCTGTGCACCTCTACCTTGCTGCACCTTAGAGATCTAAGATGGCACCTGGCTTCCCCCAGGCTCTCACCCTGGAGTGCTTCCAACCTGCCTGTGTGTGTGTGGGGAGGCTCTCCTGCCTCACTTTGGGTTTTTACAAAATTATCCATATCTATCTGGTACCGGGGATTGAACTCAGGACCCTGTGCTTTCCAGGCAGGTGGTGGAACCACGGAACTAAATCCCCAGCCCTATCTCTCATAGTTTTGAGACAGGGTCATCTCACTATGTTGTCCAGGCTGGCCTTGAATTGGTGGCAATCCTGCCTCAGCCTCCCAGGCGCTGGGATGACAGGCGTGTGCCACCTTGTCTGGCAGGGATGGTTTGCTTAGATAGTTGTGCGCATACTCACCTGCGCGCAGTCCTGGGGAAGAAGCCAATCTACGGTCTGGCTACACAGGTGCTTCCCCGCTGAGCCACACCACCAGCCAGCCATGGTGTCTAATGGCCTAGAGGTGGAGGTTTCCAGCACCTGTGACCTTTAGGCTGTGGGGCCCTGGGGACGAGGACTGGGTTTCCTGGCAGGACTCTGGCCCTGGGTTGGTGGCAGCATGCAGAATCCCTGAAGTCTGGCTCCGCTGGCCATGGGGTGGCCCTAGAGAAGGCGGGGCTGCTGTGTGCTGGGGGGAAGGCTGTTCATGATCCCCAACACTCCAGCCAGGGTCTCAAGCTGCGTCCCTGGGGTCCCTCCGAGTGGCCCTTGTCCCCTTGTGCTCGTGAGAACCTTATCTAGGCTTCGGGTCCCTGGGTTTCCTGTAGAGCCCATAAACCCCTCACTCCTTGCTGCACTGTGCCTCTGTTTCTACATTCTGCAAGACAGAAATGGGGATAACAGGAGTCTCCACTGCATAGAGACACATGGGGAGAAAACTTCAGAGCATCATACACCCAGCATGTAGCATAGACATAGAACTAATGTTTATTTATATTATAATTATTTTTTTCTTTTTGGTACCGGGGATCTAACTTGAGTCCTTGTGCTTGCAGAGCAGGCACCGGAACCACTGAGATAAGTCCCCAGGCCCCTATGTTATTATTATTATTGGTTGTATTCAGATGGAACCCGGGGCCTCTGATGAGCTCCATCCCCAGCTCTTTTTATTTTTTATTTTAAGAATTCTTTCGGGCCGGGGATTGAGCTCAGTGGTACCGCGCCTGCCTCCCAAATGCAAGGTCCTGAGTTTGATCCCTGGTGGAAAAAAAAACAACAACAAAAGAATTCTACCACTGAACTACTAATGTTGCCTTTACTTTTTATTTTGAGACAGAGTCTCCTCGAGTCACTAAGTTGCCCTAACCCTAACCCTAACCTATGATCTTCCTTCCTCCCACAGTGCTGGGATGATAGACGTGCCACCGCCACGCCTGGCTACATCATTATTTGGAAGACAATCCTGGAGTCTCCTCTGATTCAAGGGATTCGTGGTTGTCTGTCGCTCTCCCAGGGGTGGTGACAGCTGGGGTCGGTGGGATTCCCCGCGGGGGACACCCCCCCCACCGGCCCTGCGCGCGCAGAGCCCCGCCCTCAGCCGCGCCCTCTCCCCCCCCTCCCCACCGGCAGGGCCTGGCTCCCTCCCTCCCACCGCTTTCTGTCGCCTTTCCTCAGTCCTGCTGTCCCCCATCGCAGTCAGCTCTCTCCGGGTCTTCACGCCCATTTCACAGACTGGGAAACAGAGGCTTAGGAGTGAAATCACTCTCTCCGGGTGACCTAGCCTAAGGGGCGGAGGTGCAACTTCAAGCCCTGTAGCTCATTTTAAGTCAGGTAAGATCGGGAAAAGATCTAGGATCCGGGTCGGTTTCCAGTCCACCCACATCAAGGTGCCAAGGTTGGTTTCAGGTCCCATCTTGCCAGGACAGTAGACCCCTCTGACCGTCCCAGCCCCGCCCTTGCCCTTGGCGCCCTCTGCGCTCCAAGTTGCGGCGCGCACTTTGCCTACCGTCCCTACGGCAGGGGCGGGGCATCCCGCGGCGCCGTTCCCCTTTCTTTTTATTATTTATTATCATTTAAAGGGGCCGCGACCTGAAAATTTCCGTCCGCTCTTTCCCCCCCTCCAGCCTCCCTTAGGCTCCGTTGCGCGTCGTCCGCCGGAGCGCGGGAGATCGGTAGGGGGGCTGGGTGGGTGGCGTCTGGGGAAAGAGGAGGGGGCCTCGCGAGGCCCCTCCCGTGTTTCGGGCCCACGACGCTGAATCACCCGCGAGGTATTTGCATCTGAGAGCGATTCGTCACCCAGTGATTTGTCTGCGGGGCGGTGAGCGCCGGGTGGGGGAGGGGCGGGGCGGGGGGCCGGCCGCGCGCGGGGAGCCTCGTACCAATCCGGGCGGATGGGGGTGTAGACGCGGACGGGGCTGGCGAGTCGGTGAGTCGGCGCGCTCGGCACGAGCCCGGCGGGTGGCCGGGAGCCTGCAGCGCGCACCGGCTCCGGGGGAGGCCGGCGAGGCCGGGGAAGCCGGGGAGGCCGGGCCTCGGGCATGCAACCCCCGAGCCGCCTCGCGCGGTAAGGCCGTTTGCAGCGCGCGTTCCGGCGCCGGGCTGCGCGCTCTGCGCTCTAGAAACCCAAGAGTGGGGTGGGGGTGGGGTCTCCAAAGTTAGGTGGAGACGCGGATGGGGAGGGTCCAGGGCTGGGCTGGCTCCCCTAACCGATCGCGGTTTATGGGGGGGTCGGCCGTCCCTAGCGCCGGACCCTAGGGACCTCCCGGGGTATCCTAGTGCGCTGAGGCGCGCGGGGCGGCGCTTGGGGGTCGCAGGCGCGCGCTCCCGGGACCCGGCGGAAGGAAATGCGCTCTGTGCGCGCGCGCGCGGGGGGCTGCGCTCCCGGGGCTTCTTTTTCTTTTTTTTCCCTTCCCCCCAAACGGGGTGTGAATTCGCGCGCCCCTAGGTGGGCAGTTCTCAGAGACCCTCCCCAGCCTGATGCGTTCACTTAGAAAGTGTCCACCCCGGCTCACCCAGCGGACCCGCGCCCCGAGTGCGCTCGGACGGCCCCCCGGGTGAGGGTCCCAGGAAAGACCCTCCTCCCCAGCACCAGAGCCTCCCTGCACCCCAAGACACAAAAGCAGGCGCAGGAAGCGCGGGGAGGGCGCGTGTGTCAACTCCAACGTTCGCGCCGGTCCCGGCGGCGGGTTTGTCAAATATCTTCCGTTTTTAGCCGCTCGGGCCACAAGGGTCTCCCCTCCTCCCTGTCCCCATGCAAATCTGCCGCTTTCCAAGAAGCCTTTGAAATCCGGACGGGGTTTTTATCTTCTTTTGCTGCTGCTGCTTCTTCTTCTTCTTTGGTTTTGCTATTCTCACTTCCTTGGGGGGAGCCTCCTCCCGCACCTCTTTCTCAGCCCCCTCCCCAGCTTTGCGCCCCTCCCTCCCCTCCCCCCTGCCCTTCCCTGTGTGGAGTGAGGGGGCCTCTTTCGCCACCCGCGGGCCCCAGCCTTGCACAACTCTTTAAATAACCGTGTTTTGCAAGGCCTGGCCGAGCGGGTGACCTCTCCTGAGGCTTGGGGGGGGCAGGAGGGTGTGGCTCTGGGTCCGTCCCCAACCCCCACCCCAGCCGGTCCAGGCGACCATCCTGCACCCGGTCCCCGCCTGGCAATGCCTCTCCGTGGGGCTGTCATAAAGTGGGGGTGGGGGCGGAGGACAAAGGGCTCCCGGGGGGAGGAGGGGTCTGCAGGGGTGGGCGTCGCCAGCTTCGGGGGATCAGCGGCGCCGATGGGGGAGCCCAGGCCTGGTCCTGGGTTGGGGGGTGGTCTAGGGTTCCCTCCTGCTCCCTCCTCTCCACCAGCCCCAACGCGGAGAGGCCCGTCCCGAGCCCCTCCCCCACTCAACGACCCGGAAGGGTCATTAAACCCAGCGGCCCGCGAGGAGGGGCAACGGGGAGGAGCGGCTTCCTCCAGCCTCTTCCTTCTGTCCCCCACCCAACACCATCACCGAAGAGGGGGCGTCGCCTGCAGCGTTTCCGTGGGGGGGGTCTTGTCTTGAAGTTGTCAAAGGTGGGGGAGGGGCGGCCGACCAGACCAGACCCGGCCAAAAATGTCCCCTCAGCGTTTCCTGGGTCGGGTGGAAGCCGGTGACCAGGAGCTCTCACCCCGGGGATGGGGGCGCGCTGGGTGCTGCTTTTGTGACCTTTGGAGGACGAAGCTCCCGAGGTCTTCGTGCCCTGGGACCTCTGCCCTCGCTGGACAGGCAGGGACATCAGGGTCCCTTGGGATGCTCTCTACCCCCTTTCCCATGGGGCCACCTCCTGGCTCCCCTAACTGCAACTGCCCTTTTACCCAGCCTCTTGGGCAAAGGAAGTCTGGGGAGGGGGCCTGTCTGTGACTGAGGAGGCTGGATATCTACATCGCAAGAGTCCCGTACGTGGGGATGGTCACCAGAGGGTCCAGAGTGTGGACAGTGGCCAAGGTCCCCTGTGGCTAGAGCCTGCCCCCAGTCTCTCTGTCCTCCCCTCTCTGCCCGCGAGTCCTATGTGAACTCTGGGTTCATTTGCCATGTCAGGGTTAAGGGTGGCCTCCTGGACTCTCCTTTCTGTCCCTCTTCCCCACTCTGTCCCCAGGATGTGCCCTCTGTCTCGGGTGTCCCCATGGGCCTGTTGGGTTCTACTTGGTCTATTTTATTGGCTGCCTGGGCAGGTGGGGGTCCATTGGGACCTGGGTCCCCATACTGTTCGCTGACAGGTCCTGGGACATCTCAATGGCGTCCTAGGCAGATGGGGGTAGCAGTGGCCTGAGGAACCCGAGGGCCTGGGGAGGGCAGAGTGGAGCAGTGTTGCACTGTGGGACATTCACCCGTCTTGAGTCCTCTAAGAACTAGGGACTCCAGACCCCTGCTGCCCTGCAGAGAGTGTGGAGCCAGCGTAGGGGCTCTGGCCTCTCCCAGATACGGGGGTCTGTCCACCTACAGGACCGCCTGAGCCCCCGTTTCCCTCATTGGCAAACAAGGAGCTTCCCCTTCCCCATGGGCACCTGCTTTGCACCCACCTTTGGGATCCTGAGCCCACTTCATCCCCTCCCCCTTGCCTTGATTGTAACCAGTTTGGCAGATGAGGAAAGTAGGCCCAGAGGGGCCAAGGTGTAGGTGTTACCGTGAGGATGGGGTGCCAGTTTGGGTAGGGGGTGTTGGCTCAGGGGTGGTATACAGCAAATGCTCAGTCTGGACTAACTTTATCAGTGTTCATCAGAAGAGAGGAGCAGGGCATGATGGCACATGCCTGGATCCCAGCACTCTGGGAAGCTGAGGCGGGAGGATCGCAAGTTGGAGCCGAGCTGAGGCAACTTCGTGAGAGACCTGTGTCAAAATAAAAGGGCTACCGGGCTGGGATTTAGCTCAGTGGTTCTGCCGCCTACCTTGGAAGCACAAGGTCTCAAGTTCAATCCCTGGTACCAAAAAAAAGGAAAAAAAATAAAGGGCTAGGGATGTAGCCCAGTGCAAAGGGTCTAGGTTCAATCCTCACTATTCCAAGAGAGAAAGAGAAAAAGGGTTATTATCCAGGGGGTCTTTGGTTCAGGCTGCTTCCACATAACCCTGGGCGGTACCTAGAACTCAGAACTAGAGTCCAGAACCCAGTTGGATGCCAGGGTCCGGAACTGACTCACTGTAGCCAATCGGAATCCCCCTCTCCCACTTTCCTTATGAAGCAATAGATAACCCAAGTTTGCTGGTGGCCCAGGCAGCATTTTTCTGTGGGCCTGAGACCCTTGAGGCTCAGTGGGGTGACCCTGTTTCTCAGTCCCACAAGTGGGCAGCCAGAGGGGCCATAGGGGCTTTGAGCCCCTCTGCCTCCAGGGAGGCGACCAGGTGTGCCTCCTGGTGAGCACAGGTGCCAGGGATTTTCCCACGAGCCTTTGCGGTTTGACTTGGGACAGATGGGGCTGGCTGTGGTCTGATTCCTCTCTCTCTCTGGCCCCTCCCAGGTCTCTTCGAGGCTGTGAATGAGCCGGATGCCAGCCATCGCCCCCCAGTGCCCGGCGTGAGAAGGGCCCCGCCCCACCGCCACAGGCATGCCCCACCAGCCTTCAGCCTGAGCTGGCGGCTCCCGCCCCCGCCCCCCTGCCACCCTGTACTGCCCTAGCTCCCCCGAGACCCCCACGCTGCAGTGTGGCCGGGCCCCCTCCCCACAGGGGCCGCCCCCGCCGCCTGCCCCAGGTGCCCGGGGTGGCGGCCCGGCCCGAAGAGCCATGAAGCTGCAGGCGGTGATGGAGACCCTCTTGCAACGGCAGCAACGTGCACACCAGGAGCTAGAGGCCCGGCAGCAGCCACCACCGCCTGAGAACCCCACTGCAGGACCTGCAGCCCGGGCACGGGGCACCCCGGATGAGGACAGAGAGCCTGACAGTGCACGAATGCAGAGGGCACAGATGGCCGCGCTGGCTGCCATGCGGGCTGCTGCTGCAGGCCTCGGACACCCGCCCAGCCCTGGTGGCGGCTCTGAGGATGGTCCCCCTGGCTCAGAAGATGAGGACATGGACCAGGAGGGGGGTCCCAGCTCACCCGGCCGAGGCAAGGAGGGGCTAGGATGCTTGGAAGGAGATGGACACTTTGAGGATATGGGCTCCGATGATGACATGTGAGTTGGGCCCAGTGGGGTGCCAGAGAAAATCATTATGGTGCTTTGGAGGGGGGAATGAGCTTTAGATAGAGGTGTGCAAAGTTCTGGGACTTTGAGGAGCATGGAAGACTAAACGGCCCGTGCAAAGGCCCTGGGGCAGGAATGGCTCGAGGATTTGGGATGCAGCCAGGACAAAGGACAGGAGCATAGAAGAGCGGGAGCTAGGATCTGTGCCCTAGAGCAGGTCACCTTGTGCTGGGATGTTGGGGACAGAATGAATGCCCTCAATAATCTGAGTGCTTAGGGCCCCCGCAGCCTGAGCATGTGGGAGCCTGTGCTCTCCACTTTCAGAAGGGGAAACTGAAGCTGAGACAGACAGTGGACCTGTCCCTGGTGCTGGGACAGGCTGGCACCCTGTCCCCTGACCTGCTGGTGCCCCGTGTCCACTGCAGGAAGCAAAAGTGGGAGGAGGAAGAGGAGCTCGAGGAGGACATGGGGGACGAGGAGGAGGACGAGGAGGAGGAGGAAGAGGACTTCGAGGAAGAGGAGGAGGACGATGAGGAAGAGGGGCTGGGCCCCCCGGGCCCTACAGGCCTGAGCTCCACAGGCCTCTTCCCCCGAAAGGCCCCACCAGCCCAGGCCTTCCGCGGAGATGGCGTCCCCAGGGCGCTGGGTGGCCCCGCACGGCTGGGAACTGGCCCTGCTCATCCCGGAGGAGCCACCCACGTGGCCTCTCAGCTGCAGCCGCCCGACCATGGGGACTGGACCTACGAGGAGCAGTTCAAGCAGGTGCGTCGCGCGGCCTCACAAGGGTCCTCAGGTTTCCCTGTCACCACGGGTTGGGCTGACCTTGGCCCGTAGATTCTAAGGAGCCACGACTAAGATTTTTGCCAGTGGCTGGTGACCAGGTGATAAAGGCTGTGACACAGGACACATAGGTAGGAGACGTTTGCTAAAGCCTGGCCACTTGTGCCCCACGGTGGGCGGAGGTGACTGTGAGGTGACCAGCCTTAGAGGCAGGCCTGATGGAGTGAATCCATTTCTCAAAGGCTGGTGGGTGCCAGGTGCAGTGGCGCACGCTTGTCCTCCCAGCTCTCAGGGAGGCTGAGGCAGGAGGATCCCACGTTCAAGCCCAGTCTGGGCAACTTTGTGGCTTAGTGAGTCCCTGTCTCAAAATAAAAAATAAAAAGAACTGGGGATGTTGCTCAGTGCAAAGGCCCTGGGTTTAATCCCCTGAACTGCACAAAATAAAAGCTATGGGCAACCAACATGGTTGGGGAGGCGGGGCTTGGTGACTCAGGGATAGGGATCCTATCCATCACACGGGGTACATGGGGTCTGTGCGAGTCGTGTCCACATTGAGATGAGCAGTCGTTCCTGTGGTTGTGGGAAACCAGGGATGGTGGTGCCAGCCCGGGCAGCGGCCCTGGGGACAATCGGTGGCCACTTGGATATGACTTCAGAAGAACCAGGCGTTTGGGGCTGTGGTGGTGGGAGGCTGGGAGTAAGCAGGGCCAGTGGGGGCTCTCGGGGTCACCCCAGAGCTTCCTGGGCCCCTGAGGGTCAAGGAGGAAGCGGGGGTAGCCCTGGCCCTTCCCCGCGGGCGGCCAGGCTGGAGGAAGTGGCCGGGCGGACGGAGGAGCCTTTGAAGTCCACCGCGCAGATGGAAAGCAGATGGTGGCTGGTGGCCGGCTGGGCTCTCGTCCCAGCCCTTGGCCAGCTGGGCCTTGCCTGGCTTCTCGAGGCCGCCAATGGGAGCTCACCTCCTTGTCAGGACTGGAGCCACAGCCGCAGCCTGGTGGCCTAGGTAGGGAGCAGAGGACTCTGACTGCCCACAGTAGCTGCGAGGGACAGGCCTGGAGGTCCCAGGCCGCCAGAGGCTCCACCCTCTGAGCCTCCCTGGGTGTTGTCTTGGTGGAAAGGGGCATTGCAATTTGTCAGTGATGAAGAGGTGTAAGTTTGGAGCCAGGTGTTGGTAACGAACTCTTGTCATCCCAACACTCTCAGAGGCTGAGGCAGGAGGATCTCAAGTTCCAGCCCAGCCTGGGCAACTTAGTGACTTAGTGAGATCCTGTCTCAAAAAGAGCTGAGGATGGAGCTCGGTGTGAAGGTCATAGTTGATCCCTGGTACTGCAGAAAGGAAAAACAAAACCAAAAAAAAAAAAACAGGAGAGATGGAGACTTCAGTTTGGGCTGCCATAAAACCCACAGGTACCTGGAAATTGGATGATGGTGCCATTGGTTGTGACGGGAGTTACTAAGGCAGGGGACAGTGCTTCAAGTGGTGGACAAGCAAGGCTCAGAGGCAGAAGGGAGAATTTTGAGGAATCAGGAGGGAGAGTTTCAAGGAACCCGAGGGAGCTGTGGCAGCCTCCCCTCCTGGCCCCTGGTCCTAGGTGGAGGTACAAGGTGGGCAGACAGCCAGCAGACCTTCAGGGAGACGTCACCGATTCTGGGTGTGACTGGGCCACACCCCATGCCTGGTTGCAGCTGCTACCTTGGGCCCAGGCCCAAGAGGGAGGTTCTGGCTATCTGGTCAGCTCCACCATGCTCTGTGCCTCAGTTTCCCTCTGTCAGGGAAAGTCAGTGATGACCAGGACATCAGGGATGAGAGCACATCTGGGAGCAGCATGGGGGAGTGGAAGGCCCCTCAACTTGGAACATTTGTAACAGCAGTGAATGGGAAAAAGGAGCCAGGAATCCAGGCTTAAGGTGCATTCCTACAGCCCCAGCACTCTGGGAGGCTGAGGCAGGAGGATGGCTGTGAGTTCAAGGCCAGCCTGAACTACATCGTGAGGCCCTGTCGGGGATGTAGTTCAGTATGCAGGCCCTGGGTTCAATGCAAAAAATTAAAAAAGAGCCCAGTGTGGCCGAGAGGTGACCTGGCAGGAGAGACAGCCGCACGTGGTCCCGAGGTGGGCAGGGCTCGGTGTGTGCAGAGGCCGGTGCTGCTGGCTGTCTGGTCTGGGAAGTGGGTGTTGTATGATGATTGGATTTTGGATGTGGATGTTGTGGGGAGACGGGGAGGGCCCTGCAGTCCAGGCACCGTGTTCTCTGCCCAGCTGGGGCTGGCTCTGCCTTCCTCCCAGCTGGGCAGGCGTTGGTGCCGGGCTTGTCAGCAGCAGTCTGGGCCCCGCCAGCCCGGCAGATGTTGGGCTGCCGGCCGTGTTGACTCTGGCGCTGGCCCCACTGCCTTCCTGGCACGTGGCAGCCCTGGCCAGCCGCCGCCACCTGGCACTGTCTGAGCTTCTCCTTCTGGTCTTGGCAGGGCCCGGGGCTGACACTTCTGCCCCGCAGCTGGGAGACTCTGCTGAGGCCCGAGGGTTGGGGGGCCGGCCAGGCTGAGTTCCTTGAAAATCAAGGGCCTGGTGGGGGTGGAGCCACCTGTCCTGGAGAAAGAGCTCCCAGCCCGGCCCGGGCTCCAGTGCGTCATGGACTGCGATTGGAATCTTGGCACTAGGAGTGCATCCTGGCGGCTTCCTGTCACCCACATGGCCACACCCGAGCACTGGAGTGGCCATTGTGTGGCTTTGAGCTGGCGGCCTCTTAATTCCAGATCTTCAGCTGCTTTGGGGCTTGACGCTTGAATCTCAACAGCTCAGATAAATGTTGACTCAGTTTTCACTGAAATCTGCTTTACACGTACGCAGTTCGCCTTTGAAAGTATACAATTCAGTGGCTTTTCGGGACATTGCAACCAGGGTCTCTGTGGATTTCAGAACATTCTTTTGCCTCTAAAGAAAGCCCTGTCTGTCCCATGAGCAGTGACTTGTCCCCCCCAGTCCCAGCACCCCCAAGTCCACTTCCTGTCTCTGGGTTCGTCTGTCTTGGGCATTTCTGGTCCGTGGAGCCTGTGCTGTGTGTCCTCTGTGTTTGGCGTCTCTCACTGAGCACACGTCCTCAGGGTCCATCCATGCTGTGGCGAGTGTCACAACCACACTCCTTTTCCTGGCTGAGTAATATTCTGGTGTTCAGATGGACCATGCTGGGTGTATCCATTTTTGAACACATAGACAGCTAAGCTATTTGTACCTTTGAGCTTTGCAGTGCTGTACAAGTTTCCATGTAGACACGTGAGTTTTCTTCTTGTGGGTGTGAATCCAGCAGTGGAATTGCTGGGTAGGATATTAATCGCGTATTTACCTGCTAGGGAAGCTGCCCCCAGCCCTGGGTGTGGATGTGTGTGCTGGCGTCTTCCACGTCCTCTCCAGCTCCTGCTGACTTAGATTTTGGTGACTGGCGTGCCTCTGGGGGCCCAGTGGCTTCTGACTGTGGTGCTAATTTGCATTAAATGTCCGGATTTTTCCTGCTTTTTAAAGGGAAGCCTGCACACCATAGGCCTTGCGACTGAGCTCAAAAACGCAGAAACAATTTGTAGCCAGGCACAGTGGTGCATGTCTATAATCCTAGCATTCTGGGAGGCTGGGGCAGGAAGATCCAGAGTCCTAAGCCAGCCTGGGCAACTTAGTGACTTAGCAAGGCCCTGTCTCAAAATCAAAAACTAATGAGGGCTGGGGATGTCCTTCAGTGTGAAGGGCCAGGCTAGACTCAAACTTGCCATCTTTGTGGTTCGGCCTCCCCAGTCCCGGGATGACAGATGCGTGCCACCACGCTGGCTCCTGGGGACAGATGGAAAATCCACTTTTGGTTCTAGAAGGAATGCTGGACAGCACTGTTGCAGACAGGAAGAATTGCTGTGCTTCCAAGGTGGCTGGAGGCCCTGGGGCTTTCCCTGCCCCAGAAATGGGATCTTGGGGCTGCTGAGGTGTGACCTCCTCGCTGGCCTGGCCAGTGGTCCCCAGCTCTGAGTGAGCTGCTGTTTTCCTAGGGGTTTTTTTTTGCAGTTGTCCCTTCTGTGCCTGCCGCTGGGTCAGAATGTTCTGAGCAGGCTGGTTTTTTTCAAGGTGCTGTGGTCGATTGGTGCCCCTCTGTTCTTCCCAGTAAACAAGCACTTTGAACTTTCTGCTGGGGCTGTGTGGGGTGGGAATCGGGGAGGGAGTGGGCAGACATTTTCCTCTTGTGCCACGGAGACCCCCAGGCTGGTAGGAGCCAGAGCTCTGCACAGTTCCGAGGGGTCAGGTAAAGAGGATTGAGGGGAAACTGCCAGAGAAATAAGGGATTTTGGAACTGGGGCTTTGCAGGGTATGTAAGAGTTTGCCAGAACATTTAGGGCTCAAAGGACTCTCTCCTTGGGCCCACGCTTCCGACAAAATGGAGCAGTCTCCAGTCCATGCAGGAGGCGAAGAGGCCATTGCTGTGGGCAGCCAGGGGAGGAGACTCAGAGTTTTCCCAGCCGGGCTGGGTGTGCCGGGCGGAGGGTGCCGCCTGGCAGAGGCCTGGAGGTCGGACAGAGGGTGCTGCTGGTGGTGCCGTCGGATATGTGCCAGACGGGGCATGTTTGTCCAGCAGGCCTGGAGCCAGCAGTGGTCCAGTCAGGGCAGGGGCAGGGGCGGGGTGGGGGCGGGGAGTCCCTCACCGGGCAGCTCCGCCTCATCAAAGTGGCTGTGGCTGCTGGCACTCAGCCAGCTGGGCTGTGGCGGGCCCAGGAGGACTCCTGCCCGCCAGCCCCTGGCACTGTGCCCTGGCCCATGCCAGCCCCAGGAACCACACTGACTCAGCCGGAAGGACCTTATCTGGCCCCTGTGCCACCGCCCAGCCGCCAGGTCACCGCCACAGGGTCACCGCCGCCACCACCATAGCCTGGCTCCCCACCCCATGGCTGCTGCCAAGTGCCTGGCCCCGCCCCACGCCTTCTAATAACACACGCCGCTGTGGGCGGGAGTGGTGCC